TAAGAAACCAAATTGTTTAAATGTGTGAACCGTTCACCTTACAAGACTTAATGATGGTGAAAGTTTGACATCTACAAAGGATTCATTCTATTGCCATTAATGGAAAATTAAAATACAAATCTGAGCAATTCAAAATCACTAAACACAAGCTGTTTAATGCTACCTTTCCATCCGAGGAAGTGTTGATCCGGTAGTGGTAGACTCTCCCCTCGTAGCGAAGGGAAATAGAAAGCTGTCCCGGACTGCTCTCGCTTTCTCGGACAAGGAAGCTGCCATTGATGAGGGATGAAAGCAGGTACTCGGCGGCACTTCGCGACACAGGCCCATGGTACCAGCTGTGCTTCTCTAGGCTGTTTACAGGTGTGATGTAGTTGGAAGGGACCCAACCCTGGCCATTCTTGGAGCGAACCTCGCTCCACTCTCCATTTTGGTTATAGCCGAGCACACGCAGTTTCTCGCCTAGGCAACACAGACAAGGAACTGCTCAAACATCTGTGGTTTGCCATGCCAATGAGTGAACAGCTTTGACCAAGGATTGTTGTGTTTCTTGAAGATTGTCAGGTGTGATGAATAATAATAAAGCAAAACTGTGACGAGTTTCTCATCACAACTTTGTGTCTCACCATAAAAAAAAAAATTTTTAAAAAATTTAAAAAAAAAACGAAAAAAATAATTTAAAGTATATAACCATTCAACAACAAAAATCACAAACTCAAAACTTGGCCAGAATTACTTTGGGCCTTACTCCAGAAGAAATTTGAGATGGGAGGAGAACAAACAAATAAATGCAGACATAATGAAAGCGTAATCTCTGAGTAAAGTAATAATGGTGGGAAAAATAGGTCAAAATGACTTTGAATCCACCAGCCTAATCCTATAACTTCCCTTAAAATACTCAAGATGAGAAATCGGGATTAGACAGCCAGTAGACTAAATCTAATTACAAAACAATAAAATAAAAAAATAAAATAAAATAAAGAAAACAACGGTCTCAGAGACTCAACATGGACTCTTGTCATCAGGTAAGAATGTTGGTGAGGATGCTTTGGTGACAACACAAACAAACTGGGCGGTACGGACAGATTATGAGTTCTACTGAACTACATCAAAAGCCGTGCAACAATAATAAGAGCGAAGCTGCCATGCAGGCGCCGGGCAAAAGCAGACATGTCGTGACTTGGTGTCTCGTCTCCGTCTGTCTCTTGATGTCAGAGCGGTACACGTGAGGGAGTGGAAAGGCGCACGATTTTCTCGAAACCAGAGGAGGGAGTGATTCAATAATCCGACATAGAGTTACTGCACGTCTTCACTGGAGATTATTTTACAATCAAATTGTGGTCGGCTGTCGTTATTTAGTGAGCAGAAAATAAATTACGTAAACACTTCAACCTATGTATGAAAATAAGAATCATGGCATTCCGAAGAGCCTGAGTGTAAATCAGTTCAGCGTAATGCCAAATTTCACCATCTTTGGCCTTGGAACATTTGAATTTTATAGTAACACATGATTTTGCCGTTTCATGGTATTGCCTATAAGGTAAAGCAAAATGTGAAAAACACCTCCCCACAGTACATAATGCGGTGCAGCTCATCACCACTGCAAGGATGTCATTTGAGTTCATTGCCATTCTTTTTGAAAGAGGTCCATCCCCTAAGATAGTTCCTCCAATTATTAAACAGAACCTCAGCGTCCGCTGCAGGCCGGATCCACTGTCCAGTGAGTCACAGTGAAAATGACGCATCATTTACACACAGTAAAAGCTAGGCGTCCGGGAAATGGCGGTTGCAGCCAAGAAACAATTAAGATTGTGATGATCAGTGAAAAGAAGCTAAACACATTTGCTGGGAATCTGTTCTTGTACGGGTTACAGGGCCTGCACAAGCAACAATCTAAGGATTTTGTAAAAATACAGCGTAGACCACTGTCACTATACGCACAAAACTGACTGTTAGCCAGTCTGCCAACTGACTGTTAGCCAGTCTGCCATTCTCTATTTTCCTCTGCAGGACTGGAAATAGTGACTGTATCCTTGCCTTTGGAGTGGCTAAGAGGAGATAATGACTGTGAGCAGCTAATTCCTGCTTGTGGTCAACTCCTCCTGGCTCAACGTAACCCACCTGTTGATGTAAAATTCCATATCGTCACAGAAGTAGAGGCATAATGCGGTCTATTCTCCAGGAAAGAATTTTAGATTTTTTTTTGTTGCTCGAAACCAAAATCTTTTCAAAAGTCTTCTCACAAGAGTGGATCTGTCATAGCTTCAAAGTAGGAACCAACTCCGTATTTTGTTACATTTTCCCTTCCCGTAGGTGTGTCAGAGCCAGGTGTCCCAACGATTCTTTTCACCTATAGCTTTATTGACACACAACATTCCGATGGTATAACTGTAAACTGCGCACGAAACTGTTTGATAATCTGCCAATCAGCGGCATGGCCTGAGGCGTATTCGACTCAAGACTTACTTCCACGTTAGGAAATCACTGTGCCCTTCTGTTGCAACACACCTGCTTCCATGGAAGGTGTGGGAGGCATGTGTTGATACAACACCACATCACGTAGCAACAATCCTTTTTGACGATGCAGACACGAATATATATTCTCTCGGACATGTAATGGCTGAATTTTGCAGCCGTTAGTGAACTCTAAAGCATAAATTCGGACTTATATAAAATATAACACTCAGAGATTTGTCATCGGGGTATTCATTCAACAATGTTTCTTATTTGTGGCTGCAGTTTACGCTGTAGAGCTCGACTGCTACATATTTTCCAAATCGAATAAGATGCTTGCTCAAATAATCGAAATGAAATAACTCGGTTTCAAGGAGACCCGATATATTTTTGTCCACGATTCAAAACAGTTCCTACTCAGTAACATTTCTGCAACACGTTTTCGGCTTAATATTCCAAAGATCTGTAAATACACATTAAAAAAAAAAATTAAAAAAAAATCGGTCATAAAATATTGAGTATTCATGCATCCATCTTCTACACTGCTTATCCTCACTAGGGTCGCCGATCTCAACTGACTTTGAGCCAGAGGTAGATTACACCCTGGACTGGTTGCCAGCTAATCACAGGGTACACGTTGGACCACAGGTGTTAAACTCAAGGCCCGAAAGATGTCAACTTTCATGATGCTTGCTAATATCTCTACCACAATTTCCAATTCTCATTAGTAATAAGAGTGATGCTGTAAGCATTTTCTTGTTACCAAACGCCCACTGTAACTTAACAATTAGTGAATAAACCATTCTTCTTGACTTCTTTACATGGTTTCAGTCATAACGGCCTTCCAAGGGAAACTAACTAAAATCAGGCTCGGCACAAAAATGAGTTTGACACCCCTGCTTTAGACAAACAACCACTTGCCCTCATATTCACACCTTAGGATAATTTACAGTCTACAATTGTGAGGAAGCATGTTTTTTTTTTCCAGAGTACACTGACAAAACCCATGCAAGCACAGTCAGAACATGCAAATGAACTTCTAACCTTACTACTGTGAGGTTGGAAGTTCTAACCACTTGTCATTATGCTGCCCCACTTGAATATGTTGTTGGAGTTCTGATCACTTATTTTTCAACATGAAGTCTAATTAATTGAGTTTGCCTCGGACATTTGCTGTGGATACCGTATTCATATTTCGAAGCACGTCCATCTTATGTGATAAAGGCGAACCTTTTTGAAACGATCGATGCAAACTGAAGCACTGTTATCTTTGTACACCGCTTTTGTTTTGGATCTTACATGAGAGTGCAGCTGGTAATAATAACATCGGTGTTATAAATAACTTATTGCATTCTCATTATTAGATTATGACTGACATTTGATTGGAATACTATCAAATTCATCCTAAATCATGATGTTAAAAGTGTTTACCTTTAGTGATGCTGAGCGTGTTGTCTCCACTGGCCACAAAGTCATAAAGTGCAACAAACAGGTTGGGGTCACTCTCAGCCGCCCCCAATAGGTTCTCCTTGGAGCTCCAGCGTACCGCTTCTGTCAGGGCCGCAGAATCTAGCCCAAATGGCCTGTGGAGAGCTTCTGGGGAAAAAAAAATGACCAGAGAGAAAGAGAGACAAAAAGAAGGGAAATAATGAGTCTGGTGATATTAAACATCAAGCATGAGGGCTGACTGCTGAAGCTGCACATGCATGCAAACACATGACGACTCTAAACTGGTTCTTGATCAAGCTGCCCTTGTGGTCTACCTGGTTGTCCAGGCTCTGGACTCTGCCTCAAGCCCGTGCTGAGTTTCTGGACACTAAGGGCCACCCATTCTTCCTCAAAACTGTTTGCCTGCAGGCACCTCAAAACCATTACTTGAGCAAAACGACTCTTGTACTGTACACCTTTCAGATCAGGTATGATGCAGGGTTGGACCATGCGCGTCTTTAAAGAGTGCAAAGAGGGAGGTGCTCCAGAGTAAGGATGAGAGTGACGCTACCTGATCAGGGCGCAGTGATAACGTGTACCTAAAAACAACACACACACCCACAGAGACTGACTTGCGATTGATGAAACAGAACATGAGTAGCAGATGAACAACGCTCAGCAGCTGCTGCCAAAATCACTGCGTGTCTGGACAGCTGCTGCAGGAGTGGGAGAGGAGGGTGTTGAAATTGGGCGACTGACGACAGAGCATCTCAGCACTGTATCTTACGCCTCTGAATTGTACCGGTCATTTGATTTTGGGTTCATACTTTTATTCATTTTGGCAGAAATTTGCTACTGACAGCAACACAACAACGTCCAAACTAGGACCCGACCATTATTGAATGATGAGACCGATGACAATATTTGCCAGAATAAAATTCTGATAAACAATTGATCGAAAGATTGATTAAAAAAAATAAAAATAAATAAAATAACCTATTTTTTGGGTCTATTTGCACTTACAACAGTAAAGACATTAATTACGGGCACAAGGTGACTGTTTTGCATTATTTTGTCCTTTATTATTAGTCTACAAATTACATGCTGCATGAATAACGGCTGGACAAAGTGCTCAAAAATGAACCAAATATGGAAATATACACATCGCAATGAATCATCTTTTATGTCCACTGTGCCAAAACACACACAATATGCCCACCTCTGTTTTGGACCACAATGCACTGCAGTGTGGCACTGGCTGTGGCACGGCTCAGCCACAATTCCCAGTACATCCTCTGCCGTGGTGTCGTTCTTTAGCAGCCCTGAAAGCTGTGGGCTTCTTGATTTGGCTCAAAGTAGCTGATCCAAGCATTGAGGGTGAAATGTTAAGACGTTGAAAAAAACTAGTTCACCATCTCAACGAGAGACAGACCCCCACCAAGTTTATCCACCAAAACTTCAGAAGCAAGAATCCAAAACACATTTTGATACATGTGGAGAGCAGAAAGAGCCATGACTGATGCCCCCTGCGATGAACCACGCTGTGAGGGATGGCACAAATGGCGTGGGAGGGAGAGGGGATCGTAGACATATGCTTAAGTGGAGGTGGAGGTCTGGGGACTTAGGCAGAGAGTGTATCGTGAAGTAAGAAAGCCGAGAGCTGGGCTATGTGTGTGAAAAAGAGTGTGTGGAGTGGAGTGTGAGGTCCGGACTACAGCTGCAGTCAACAGCAGATGGCTGGTCCTGTCCTCCTGGGAACGAATAAGTGAGAGTGTGTGTGTCTGTGTGTATGCGGCCGCCCGTGTGCGCGTGTGTGTGTGTGTGTGTGTGTGTGTGTGTGTGTGTGTGTTTGCAACTGCAAGCGACGTTGGGCCAACTGTCAGAGCTGCTCTTCTTACATCGCTGAATATCACACTCTCTTTGAGGAATGTTTTTTTTTTAATGAGATTAATGCTGCACATATGATTAGGGCCGGTCCTAATATTATGAATTCCAATTCTCACTTTCAGCGTGGAAATAAAAAGAACACTGACTGATGAGTTCCAATATGCCAAAAACAGTACACAATTACATGAAATCATTCAAATCATTTAAATGCTTCATGTGACAGATACAATATCGCAGGTTTCTTTTCCATATGTCCTAACACTGTAACATATGCAAATATTGAATGTCGTGCATCGCAAGAGGACCTTGACCTTGTGTGTCTATGTCATTAACAAAGCGCTGTGCACTCTGAAGAAACGCTTTGTGTCAAGCATACCAGAAGTGGTCTTTGGAAGTCGTCACGCCAAGTCTGCTCAACACCGACTGAGACACCCGGAACAGAGGTGACCCGGATCCCGTGGCACACACTCGTGCCATAGATATGACGCATTTTGTGACACCACCTACTTGGCTGTCCAGGGACCCCGGCCTCGATGCAGCAGCTGCTTGTACAAAGTATGACCAATTACAGATTTGTGCATCTCTATATGATTATCATTGAGTTGGCCAATGTATTTTGTTGAGGAAACAAAATGAATAAACTAGAAATGATTGGCTGTAGACTGTACACCACTCTGCACCTTTCAATTGTTTGAAGTTTGTATGTATTTCCTGGTACCGGTAATTTGACATCCTGATCATATACATCCCGACATGGAATTCCTGGCAACTTTCTGGGATATGACTCATAAAACTAAAATAAAACAAATAGCCAGTGGCCAAATACCACTGAAAATATCCGGTAGTTTAAGCACTTTTCAAGAATAAAAATAAATACAACAAAGCGCTGCAAGTCACATTATCTATGAAAGGGGCTCATAATGAACTGTTTCAGGGGCTACATTTTCGGAACACAAGATTGTCAGCTTGTTCTGAAAGCCTGACTCTGATGTCTCAGTCTGAACATTCGGGGCACCATGTAAACGGAGTACACAGATAAGAGATAAGTTGTTAAGAGACGAAGAAGAATACACCAGTAGTTGCATGGATGGATTCTTTTCACAAGTAGATAAATGGATGCCATGTTGGCTCTGTGTGCTGAGCTGTAAATTAAGTGAATGAAAGCAAATCCCAATCGGCGCAGGCATATTACTTACTAGAGTAGAAGAAACATAAGCAATCTCTCAATAGCAACTGTCATGCATCTCTTCAGGTCTTTTAGTTTTGATATTGATTCTCGTTATATGGCATAGCTCGACAGTATATGTATCATAAAAGCTTTTTAATGACAAAACAAATCCTTTTCAGATAAAATGGAAGGTTAACCGGGGGAAAATTCGACCAAGTTGAAGAAGTCTAGCATGCATGCATGCAAGTATATAAAAATACCTTCTTGTATTGGTACCGGCTTGGCAGCCATCATCAGCCAGCTACAGTAAGTCTCGCTTCGTGAGCAAAATTTAATGTGTTCTGACTTTGCCCATGGAAATCAAGTTTAATAGTTTTGCTTAACAAATTCCTAAAGTGTAACTAACTACTGTAATCGGCAAAGAGTTATCGCAATACAGAGTGCCCCTTGCCTCACACTTTTTCAAGGGAATAACAATAAAGTAATAGAATGTATGCTAAACCCATGGCTATGGAGATAAGTGATTATTTTTAGCTACAAGTGAACAAAACACAGCAGCATGACACCAGGCATAACTCGGCAACGCACATCGTGCTGTAGACAAAAGATGGCTGCCTGCCTGAAGCCGATACAATCATCCTCACATGCACAAGACGTTACATAAACTAGATTTGGTTCAATGTGGTCCCATGGCAGACAAAGACAAAAAGGAGTCTGATTGTTACAAGCAGAAGAGGAGAAAGGATAAGCATGAGCGCAGTGATTCAAGTCAAAATAAAACCCTTCTACTTTCTTTTCGGGACGGAGGTCACAGACACTTTGCCGATCACACAATACAAAAGAACCTCAAAATTTGAGAGTGGAGAATCAGAACAACGTGGAAGGCATCCAGCGTCACAAAGCAAATTATGTTTGATTGTGGAGCTTCCAACAAAGATGACCCTGCAATACGCGATTTCAGCAGCTTCAATTTTTTGGGGGGGTTTTGTAGCCCTCCTGACTGACCAGAATCTGTTGCATCAACTATAATCTCACAAAAACGTCGTCTCCGTCCTCTACCATCAAGAGAGGCAGTCTACTCGTGACAGGTCATGAACACCAATAAACTCCGAGCGTCTCATCGTGAACTGGGGGGAATATTTGGCACGGGCAGCAACAGAGTGGAATTTTTCAATCAGATTTTACAAGTGCCCATGTATGCACTTGCCTTGTTTCCACATTTGAGTCATTTCCATGGAGTTCCGCACGTCTCCCTCAACCAGACTTGGACCTTTCATACATCCTGGTGTTGAAACACATTTGAGCAAACGGATTTGAGCAATTGGTCTTGCCTGGACACACCTGTAGGAGTAATGGGTTCAGATTTCTATTCACCTGAGATGTCATGGCGGGGAGAGGGGGAAACCCTCGTGCTGTGGACCAAAGGGTCCTCTAGGATGAATCGATAAATTATGCCTGGAGAGTGAGGTGCGAGGGTAGTGTGCTTAAGAGTTACTTTTATGATGTTCACTTGGAGTCAGTACAGTGTGAATGCGTAAGTGATGGCAGCTCGCGCTGTGCATAAGTAAGTTATTGCATGAAAAATGGATCATGGTTTAACTGCAGCAGTGCTACATCATTGGCAAATACGACGGGGATGTAAGCAACATTGTACTGTACACTGAGCATATGTAAAATGGAATTTGAATCACCCCATTTAAAAAAAATAATAAATTTTCATCGCTAACTGTCGACTTTGCCAAGTCTAGACAGTAAAGGTCCAGAAGAGTCCACATACTAAAAAGTATTAGCTCCTTTTAAGACAGCAGTCAGAGAGTTGCACAATGCAAACTACACAGAGACCGTAAAATACTACAGAATATCATCCTGATTATCAGCTCAAGAGGATAATAGCAATTCACATTAAATAATAAATAAATAAAACCTGATTTATGGTATGCTGGATTGCTGTTTAAATTCTTATGAATCCAAGATATGTGTGGCAAGTCGATGGATTGACTTTTACAAGATTGTTCCACAAAATAGAGCTGGATTGGTTATTAAAGAAAAAGCTTTCCAGTGACGTTGACTCAACTTGAAATTTATCTGTTTGCCAAATGGGGACAGCAATGCA